GTTTGGCTTTGAAACACTGGAAACACTCTGCATGTCTCTCAGGAGGGGACGTGGTGAACTATGGTAACTGCATGTGATGTGGGGTGGAGAGGCAGGCTGTAGAGCCACCCAAGGGACAGGAGGGGGGAGGGAGGGGACAGAGAGGGGAAAGGAAGGAAGAAAGAATAGATCCAAGTGTTCATAATTAACTCTGGGGCATAAGATTACAGAGGGCTTTGAGATTCAACCAGATATATTTCTGTTAGGTTTTTACCTTGAACAGTAATCCTTTTGGGGGGCTACTAGGAATTGAACCCAGGGGCACTTAACCACTGAGCCACATCCCCAGCCCTTTTTATATTTTATTTAGAAACAGGGTCTCACTGAGTTGCTTAAGGCCTCACTAAATTGCTGAGGCTGGTTTTGAACTTCTGTGATCCTCCTGCCTCAGCCTCCTGAGCAGCTGGGATTACAGGTGTCTGTCACGGCACCTGAAAAGTAATACTTTTATAAGAACATAAAATAAGGGCTGGGGATGTGGCTCAAGCGGTAGCGCGCTCGCCTGGCATGCGTGCGGCCCGGGTTCGATCCTCAGCACCACGTACAAACAGAGATGTTGTGTCCGCCGAAAACTAAAAAATAAATATTAAAAATTCTCTCTCTCTTAAAAAAATGTTAGAAAACGATCTTTAAAAAAAATAAAAATAAAATAAAATAAAGGCATTAAAAGAATACACCAAAGCTGGATATGGTGGTGCGCACCTAGAATCCCAGCCACGTGGGAGGCTGAGGCTGGAGGATCATATTCCAGGTGAGACTACCCAATTTTGCAAGACCCTGTCTGACAAACTTTTACAAAGAGGAATGGGGCTGTGGCTCGGGGTTAGAGTCCTTGTTGAACCTGCAGGAGGCCCTGGATTCTAACCCCAGCACTGCACAGAAAACAGGAAGAAGAAACTCACCAGGGACAGACAAGCATGGGTGACGCTGCGTGCCCCCAGCTGGGCAAGTGGAACGGCAGTAGGGTGACCAGCTGTTCCTGGGACCATGAGGCTTCTTGGGGTTGTGTACTTCAAGACAAAACCCAAAAGTCCTGGGCAAACCGGGACCAGTTGGTCACCCTGGATGGGGGTAGTGTGGATGTCCTGGGGCAGCAGGGAGGGGAAGGATGTGGCTGGACCTCAGACCTGGGGCTCCATCCTGTTGGTCCCTCTGTGGCCTCCAGGTAAGCAGAGGGGCCCGGAAGCTGAGCCTGGGGAGGAGGCTGGGCCGGGTGTGGAGGACGTGGAGAGGCTGAACCTCTTTTGCAAGCTGAGGACAGGGCCTGGAGAAGGCTGGGCCTGGGTCCCCCTCTCCCAGGACTCCCATCATCTTGCTAATGCCCTCTCTACCTCTGCCATGTCCCCAGATACAGACTGCTGAGGTCACCCCAGTCTCATCTCCCAGAAGCAGGGACCCTGGCAGGCTCTGGAGTGGGCAGCCGAGGCCTGGAGGAGGGTGCCCTCCCAAGAGCAGCACTGGGCGCAGGGGCGGAGGGGGAGACAAGGCAGGTGGGGACACTCAGCACAAACACGGCCCTCCCGGGAGACGCAGGGTGCAGACAATTGAACACTTGGACAAAGAAAATGGTGATTAATCAGATTCCCGACTAAGCACATCCAGCACCACCATATAATTAAGCCAAAAACTTGCAGCAGAAAGCTCCTTAATGGAGCGGACACTTAGGCAGAGAATTAATTACGACAGTGCTCAGGGTTTCAGGAGCCCCTAGAGGAACAGGCGTGGGGCCCAAACCAGAAACCAGGAGTCAACCCTGCCTAGCGTGGGACTGAGGCCAGGAGCCGAGTCACCGGCTCAGGCTCGGAGGCAGGTGACCTGCAACGGAATCCGGGCTCTCACAAGCTGTGGGATCTGGGGGAAGTGCCCTCCTGGAGCCTCAGTTTTCTCATCTGTAAAATGGGAATAATACGAAGTGTTCTGGGATCTCTGTGAGGATTCAGTGAAGTAATGCAAACAAAGGACTTTGCATGGCACGTAATGGATGTTCAATGGATTATTATGGATTGAGGAAGTCACTTTCTGTCTTAGGATCTTAATTTCTCATTGCCAAAAAAAAAATATATATATATATATATAGATAGATAGATAGATAGATAATATGGCTGCTTTCTTCCCAGAGAAGCTGGAGGGTCAAGTGAGATCACACCATGAAAACTATATATAAGCTAGAATGTGCTTTCTAAGCAGAAAAGTGCCATGCCCACATTATTAAGATCATTATTAAATCCTTGGTTTCATACTTTATTATTTATTTTATTTTTTGTACCAGGGATTGAACCCAGGGGTGCTTAAGTATTATTTATTTTTTTATTTTGAGACAGGGTCTCCCTAAGTTGCTGAAGATGGCCTTGAACTTGGGGTCCTCCTGCCTCAGCCTCCTGAGCCGGGGGAATCACAGGTGTGTTCCATCACACCTTGCTGCTTGGTTTCATATTAAGATCAGACTCTTGCTGCTTATTTCCCAAGAAGCTGCACAGGTAGTAAAGGTGTGGCCTCGCTGGGCATGGGGGAGCACACCTGTAATCCCAGCCTTTTCGGAGTCTGAGGTGGGAGAATCACAAGTTTGAGGCCAACCTGGGTAGCTTAGCAAGAATTTCTCTTAAAATAAGGCAGAGAGGGCTAGGGATGTGGCTCAGTGGTAGAGTGCTTGTCTGGCATGAGCAAGGCCCTGGTTTCAGGGGAAAAAAAAATGTGTGGCCTAGGAGTTAGGCCATCTGAGTTTGAATCCTACCTTTTACATTTAGCTGTATAACTTGCAGCAAGTTGCTGAGCCTCTCTGTTCTTTAATTTTTCTATCTTGAAAATGGGGGCGATGATAATATTACCTACACAGGGTTGTTGTGAGGTACAAATGAGGACATATGTGTAAAATATTCACACCACTTCTTGGCTCGTAGCTAGGCAAGTGTCAGCTGTGACTACTGTTCCTACAAAGCAAACTCTGGGCTCAGAGGACTCATGCTTTGAAAATAGGACAAACATAGGTTGTCCTAATGTGCAGAGGCGCTTTGAGGCCAGGTGGCACCTTCCCCCGCAAGCCTCCTTAGGCTAGCAGCTGACCCACTGGCCCAGGTGCTCACTCGGGGAACCTGACCGCACCTGTGTCAGGCCTATGCCGGGTGCACAGAGGAACAGCCTGGCCTGCCCTCAGGATGCTCCCAGTCTGTGGGGACAAGACCCTGACTTCAAGTATCAATTCCCACATTCCTAAAGAGCACAAAGATGGCAAAGGACATGGCCCACTGCAGGGCAGGGGTGTACGGAGCCCACCCCGTGAACAACTTCATGTGCAAGTCGTGACTTTTCTCAACTCCTGGAGAGGTGTCATTGCCTCACGGAGGCCCAGGCAGGTACAGCAACAAGCCCCAGGTCACTCAGCGAATCAGAGGCAGAGACCGGATTCGAACACAGACCTGTCTGCCACCCCACAGCGTCTCCCTGTTAGCTCTTCTGGTCCACAGATGGCTCCTGGCCCCCAGGACATCGCACCATGGCCAGCTCCCAGCACCGCTGAAGCAGAGAACTGTCCCAAGGGTCTGGATCATGCCACCGATGATGGCCGAGGTGCGCTTTGTTCCAATCTGGCCCTGTGGTTCCTCGCTGTGTGGCTCTGGCAGACATTCAAACTCCCTAAGCCTCATTTCCCCCCCCTAGAAAAGGACAAGAGCAGTGCCTACCTCTGGAGGGGCTGTGATGGTCCTCCCTCTCCAAGTCCGGGTCCCCCTCCTCTGCCCACCTCTGCAGACTGCACCTGGGGTCAGCTCTAGCTCCGCCCTGCCCGAACCATCCCCTCCTGCTTCCTTCCACCAAGCTTCCATTGCCCTCCTGGAGACCTTCCTTTGCAAACTCCTGGAGCAGGGTGGCCTGTGTCCTCAGCACCCCTGGGGTGGGGACAGTACAGGCCCCGGAGCTCCTGGGAGCCGCAGGGAGCCCACTCCACCTGCAGGCCCCTGGTGGGCGGGAGCCCAGGGTGGGCACCCTCCAGCCTGGTTCCTGGGCTCCCTCCAGAGCTGCCTGCAGCTGACCCGCCCGCGAGTTGCTCAGCCCTCACCAGCAGCTCCAACCACCACCATGGGAGAGGTCTCCCCCCAAAACCTCGGACTTTCAGGGACTCTGACATTGGTTGGTCCACAATCTCTGACCCACTGGAAGACTTAGGACGTTGAGACCTTGGCAAATCACACTTGACCGTCCGGGCACCGCAGCAGTGTCCTGGGACAGCTGGGCTCTGTGGGGCAGAAGTGCTCTCCATTCCCATCTCATTTGCTCAACCAATAAAGAGCCACAGCACTGGACAGTGAAGGCAAAGTGGTGGACAAAAGCAAGGACAGATGCAGTGGCCCCGCAAAGAACTACACGGGGAACGGCCGAGCGCATCAGCGAAGAACCCGCGGCTGACCTCATCCGTATGGTGAAGTACTGAACAGTTCCCCTGAAGGTTGGGAAGGAGACAAAGGTGTTACAACTGTTTGCCCTGTTCTGGAGGTTCTAGCCAGCACAGTTAGGGGAGGACAGGAACTCAAGGGCATCCAGGTTGGAAAGGAAGAAGCCAATCTGTTTGCAGTTGACCTGACCTCAAACACAGAAAAGTCTAAACTGTCAAAGGAGGCAAGGCTGCAAAACTCAAGATCAATGTATAAAATCAACTGCATCTTTATACACTAGCAATGACCAAGTTAAACTGAAATTAAGAAAACAATTTCATTTACAATAGCATTGAAAAGAAGAATACACTTAGAATAGGTCTTTACCAAGGAGGTATAAGACTTGTAAACTGAAGAATCACCACCCATTGTTGAAAGAAATTAAAGACTTAAATACATGCAAAGATATCCAGTGTTCCTGGATTGGGAAAACTTAAAACTTCAAGATGGGCCCGAAACAGTGACTTGAGAGACTGAGGCAGGAGGATCACAGGTTTGAGGCCAGCCTCAGAAACTTAGACTCTGTCTCAAAATAAATTTTTTTTTGATACAATACAGGATTTATTGGTGTTGTGTGTGATTAAGAAGGGGACAGCATAGAGGAAGCCCTCATGAATGCAGGGCCCGCCACTTGTCCAGGGGACCACGATTGGGGATATATTTGACCCCACAGCCATCAGGAACGAGCCGCTTCTCAGCCACCATGTCTTCAAATTCATCAGCATTAAATTTGGTAAAGCCCCACTTCTTTGAGATGTGGGTCTTCTGGCAGCCAGGGAACTTGAACTTGGCCCTTCGTAGGGCCTCAATCACATGTTCCTTGTTCTGCAGCTTGGTGCGGATGGACATGATGACTTGGCCAATGTGAACCCTGGCCACCTTTCCCTGGGGTTTCCCAAAGGCACCCTGCATACCTGTTTGGAGTCTAGATGGGGGACATCATGAGATCAGAAATATGAACATCTACTCAAAGTGCTGTCTCCAAGGTCCCTTAGGGCAACCTATACAAGCAACAGGCTGCATACACTACCAAGGAGATTGCTGTTTGCAGCCATTGCACACTGGGCCACCACAAGTAAAGGAAACCAGTCGGCTTAATTAGCTGCAGAATTTTTTTTTTTTAAAAAGGGCTGAGGTATAGCTCAATTTCCAGTTTAAATATATATATATATATATATATATATATATATATATATGTATAACATTTAAGATGGCAATATTTCTAAATTGATCTACATGTTCAATGCAATCTCTATTAAAATTTCAACTACATTTTTTTGAAGAAATTGATAAGATGGTCTTAAAATGTATAAGGAAATATAAGGCAGTCCAAGGAGCCAAATAATGTTAAAAAAGACTCCAATTTCCTGATTTCAAAACCTATGACAAAGCCATAGTACTAGTGCAGGAGTAAGGATAGACAGACACATAGATAAATGGAGTAGAACAGACCCAAATGGAGCCACAAACTCAGGGTCAGCTGATCGTCAACAAGGGTGCTAAGACCTGTTCAAGGGAGAAGGCAGCCTTTACAACAGATGGTGTGGAGACAATGGGGCACCACAAGCAGAGGAATCAAGCGGGATCCCTGCCTCACACCATACACAAAAATACATTCGAAACTGCTCAAAAATCAAAATGGAAGGGCCCAAACTACTAAACCTTAGAAGGAATGTAGGTCTGATCTATAGGATCTTGGATTAAGCAACACTCCCCTAGTTATGACACCAAAAGTGTAAGTAGCCAAGAAGAACTTGATAAACTGGATACCATGATGCAGTTTGTACACCCAAGGACACTATCAAGAAAGTGACTTCAGGGGGTTGGGGTGGTGGCTCAGCCTAGCATGTGCAAGACGCTGGGTTTGATCCTCAGCACCACATAAAAGTAAATAAAATAAAGGTATTGTGTCCACTACAACTAAAAAAATAAATAAATAAATAAAAAGAGAAAGTGACTTCAGCAGGGCACACACAACATCTATTAAATTTGGCGGGGGGGTGTTGGTAGAGCACATGCTTAGTGTGCCCAAAACCCTGGGTTTGGTTCTCACAACCAAAGGAATAAGGGAAGGAAGGCAGGAAGGAAGGAAAGAAGGAAAAAAAGGAAGGAAGGGCAGATCAACCTACAAAACAGGAAGGACTATTGCAAATCCTGTATTTGGTAAGAGTATAAAATCCAGAATATATGAAGAACTTACTATTCATCATCAAAAAGATAAATAACCAAATATTAAAAAGTGAGGAAAGGATTTGAATAGAAATTTCTTCAAGGAAGAGATCCAAGTAGCTAATAGGCCCATGAACATATGCTCAAAATCACTCGTGATTAGGAAAATGCAAATCCAACCCATCAGGACAGCTATAACCCAAAGGGAGCTAAGGGGCTGGGGACCAAGCCCAGTGACAGAGCCCAGTGGCAGAGTGCAGGCCTGGCACGTGCAAGGCCTGGGTTTGGGCCTCGGCACTGCAATTCGGATAACAAAACAAGATAAAACGACAGTGAGTGTGACGCTCACGTGGAGAAACTGGAACTCTTGTGCATTGCCGGTGGGAACGCGAAGGGGCCTGGCTGTGGAAAATGGGCCGGTTCCCCAGACAGAGAACAGAGAACCATGCCGTGGCCCAGCGTTCCTCCTGTAGGGTGTGTGTGTCCATATATACCTTGGTTGCCAGGGGCTGGTGGCAAAGGGAAATGGGGACTGACTGCTAATAGGTACACGGTTTCTTTTAAGTGTGAAGAAAACGCACAACTTTTTCAATGTATTTAAAAAAAAAAACAATGAATTGTCTGCTTTGTCTATTTATTAACTTTGTTGTTTGTTTGGGTGCTGGGGATGGAACCCAGGGCCTCACACATGCGGAGCACAGACTCTACCACTGAGCTACGCCTCTAGCTCCAATTGCGGACTTTAAAATGGAAAATTTATGAGAATTATATTTCAATTTTTGAACAAGGAAAGAAGGGAAAAAAAAAAAAAAAACAGGCACAGCTCTTGCCCTGGGGGGAGTTTACATTCACACACACACACACACACACCCCTACACACACACACACACCCCTACACACACACACACACACCTACACACACACACCCTACACACACACACACCCCTACACACACACACCCCCTACACACACACACACACACCTACACACACACACACCCTACACACACACACACCCTACACACACACACCCTACACACACACACCCCCCTACACACACACACACACACCCCTACACACACACACACACCCCTACACACACACACCGTACACACACACACACCCCACACACACACACCCTACACACACACCCTACACACACACACACACCCCTACACACACACACACCCTACACACACACACACCCTACACACACACACACACACCCTACAGAGCAAACTGACTCTGTGTCAAGTGCTCTGAAGGAAGGGTTCCAAGAAGAGGGCTGCCACGTCAAGGGGGACACACCCGAGTCAGGGATCTGCAGTTAGGGAGAAGGAAGAAAGGGCGGCCAGGTGTGATCCCAGAGACTCAGGAGGCTGGGGCAGGAGGATCGCAAGCTTGAGGCCAACCTGAGCAACTTAATAAGACTGTGTCTCAAAATAGGTTGGGAACGTAGCTCAGTGGTAGAGTCCTTGGGTTCAATCCCCAGTATCAGAAGTTAAAAAGAAAAGAAAGAAAGGGATGGGGCAGGGCAGGGTGGAGAGAGAGAGAGAGAGAGAGAGAGAGAGAGAGAGAGAGAGAGCGCGGATGGAAGACTGGCAGAAAAAGGAAGAACAGGGGCAAAGAACTGGTGGAGAGATCCATGCGGGCATGGTAGTGGGGTGCACAGGAGAAGCACCCAGGGAAGGGCAGGAAGGGCGACTGACTGTGCCCATGGCCTGCTTGGAAGTGGGGGAGGCTGAGCTCGAAAGCAGGTGGGGAGAGCACCAAGCCCTCTGCAATCCTCCTAGAGGTATCAGGAGTTCATTCCTCCTGGTTGAGGCCATCCTCCTGCGACCTATGCAGGGGGGACACATCCGCATCCTTAATTCCTGTTGCAGCCCCCCCTGTCCTGATGCTCCCGGGAAGGATGCACGGATGGAAACCGCTTCACTGCCATGGCAACGGCAGCCACTTCTGCCTCCTCCTCCTCCTCCCGAGGAGCCAGGTGGGGAAGTCTGCCTGGCAACAGTGTGGGTGTCAGGAACCAGTGGCAAAGGTGCAGAGAAGCCCCGCCCCCAGCAGGGGCCTGGGGATCCCCTGTCATTTACTTGCTTGGCTGGGATCCCAGGTTCCCTGCTTCTCCTTCCAGTGGAGAGTCACAGCAGCCACTAACATCTGGACAGTCTTTTATGGCTCAGATTGTGATTCACGGCAGCCTGGGACGTGGGATTACTGGCCCCTGGGACTGATGAGGACACCGAGGCTCGGGGAGGTGGAGGGGGCCTGCTAACCCAGTGTCCTCCCTGTGCTAAGGTGTGCTGATGTCACAGGGCAGGAGCCATCAACGAAAGGAGAGAGGGGGAGGGTCCCGCCCCTGCTTTCCCCCTGGTAACCTCTCTTTCGGGGATGTTGTGCTCTGTCCCTGTCTGGCCCACTAGAGCCCTGGGAGAGGTCATTTGGGGATTGTGAGATTAGGGTGGTAGGAAGGACTGTGGGAGGAGGGACTGCAGAGGGCATCTCTGGAGGGACACCCCAGGGGCTGGGCTTGAAGGTTTCTCTTCAAAATGCGCAGCTCTGAACTTGAGCACGGGCATTAAGGACCACGGCTAGCATTTTCTGCACTCTGTGCCAGCTCTGGGCCAAGCACTTGGCATGCACCCGCTCGTCTGGCACTCACAACCACAAATGAAGGATGGGTCACGGCCCCATCCATCTAGGGAGAGAGTCTCAACTCAAGGCCTCAGGGAGGCAGAGTGCCGCCAACCAGGCTGTTGGACCCCAGAGCCACCTGCAGTCCCCAGCCCCAGGGCAGACTCCCCCTGCCTCTTCTCCCCACCCCACCGGGCAGGGAAGATTAACGGGGAGGGCCAGGAGCAGGGGGGTAGAAGGGCCTGGGCCAGGGGCGCAGAACCTGTTGGAGGAAGAGCTGGCTAAGTGGGGGCGGGGGAGGGGGGAAGGGTTCTCAGGACCTACCCTTGGCAGCGCTGGCCAGTGCTCCTTACAGGTGGCATTTCATCTCATCCCCAGAACGACAGGAAGAGGCAGTAACAGCTAGCACTTATTATACGCCAAGCATCTGTCTAATGCCCAGGGACATCCCACTCATTTAATTCCCCAGGCGAGATGCCGGGCAACGTTAGGGCAGGGTAACTTGTCCTGCTGATATGGAATTTTACGGGGGAGATAAGGAATTTTACGGGGGGTTCCAGACAGAACTCAGGGCCTTGGGCGTGCCAGGCAAGGGCTCCTCCCCTGAGCCACAGTCCTCGGGCTCAAGATGCCCCAGACTCACTACGCTGCCAGGAAAGGGGTCAACCCTTTCTCCAGAAGAGACCCTTTCTGAGGTCACAGGGTGATTTGATCCCCTCCCCAGGGAGCACATGTCACCTGAGACCCTGTAGAAGACTCCACCGCAGACTCTGGCCCATGGCTGTCCAGAGCTGAGTGCAGGGGAGGAGCCAACAGCGCCCACCCACCTGGGGGAGCTTATTTTTGCTCAGGGTATTTTTGTCTGGAGTCACACACACAATCCTGATCCTCCAAGTGGCATCAAATCCCTCCCTAAAACAGTCCTTGAAAGGCCCCGATGGCCAGGCTCCCTGCTCTCTCCTACAGCAGCGAGGAAAGGAGGCAGGGATTGGACCCCAGGGCCCACCGCCTCCCCAGGCCTCTGGGTGCAAAACAGGGGTTGGAGGGCTACTCTCGGGACCCTCCCCTCATTCCAGGATTCCTGCCTGGAGGACCCCATTCAGCAGGCAGTGGTGGCTGGCGGTGTCAGAGAGCCTGCCTCCCTGGGGCTGGGGCCTGGTC